TAGCTACATAATGGAGTTACACTTTCAACTATGAATAAGAAAGACATTTTCTTATTCATAAGGTAGATGAAGCAACATATCCTAATAGGATTCAATTACTAAATGGTTACAGATCTTGAAATATCTGTATGAATACAGAGTATCGAGGCTATTTTTCAAGTTATTCAGGTATCAGAGTTTTCCCAAGTTTTCTGGGGGATGGCTCTTGTTTTTTTTTTTTAATCCTAGCAGATCTGTGAATATGACAATATCACATGGGAAGTAGTGAATGGGCTGCATAGAAAATAAGAAAATATCAGTAGCACATTCATAAAGGGTGAAATGTGAAGCTAATTTGTGGCACATACCTGTAATCTCTGCTTCTTAGGAGGCTAAGAAAGGAGAATTGTAAGTTCAAGGTGAACCTGCATAACTCAGTGAGAAAAAAAATGTATATAAAAAACAAAAAGGCCTGGAGATGTAGCTCAGCAGTAGAGCACTCCTGTTTCAAGCCCCAGAAGGTGGGTGGGGTGGGGGTGTGAAAGGGTGAAATGAAAAAGATAACAATTCATAGGCCTTTCTCATCAGTTCTGATCTAGTAATCAGTGTTCAAGTTACCCAATCTATAAAATTGATCCAAAACACTCTAAGGACTTTCTTTAAACTTAAGCTTTTATACATTGTTATACATATATGTTCAAACATTCTGGAGGCTAGAGAAGTAACTCCAATTTTGGAGGATTGGAGGCTCTATAGAGTACACTAGGTTTCAACCAGTAATTAAATATGAGGTAACAACATCTATAAGCTTGGCCTTAGCATTGTATAGGAGCTGGGGAGTAATTTAGGCCAAGTGTAAAAGCTTCACATTCTGAAAATAATAGTGGAAGAACACAACACTTCTGAATTAAGAAAAATAAAATTGAGAGAGGGACATGATTAGAAGGAAACTTCTAGAATTCTACTAATCGCAGTTCCTCAGATTGGTACAACTGATGGCAATCTCTGGATCACCAGTCATCAAGTCAAAGTTTGACAGAGAAGGATGACCCACAGGAGCAGCCTTGCTCTGCTTGAGGATTGTTCAACACTTGAAATGAGCTTCGGATCAGTTCTTGGCTGAAGTCCACCTGGGCCCCCTTTACGAAGGCCAAGCTATCAGAATCAACCACAACTCTTGCCCCACCCTGTTCGAATACTCTGAAAAGACAGGAGGAAGGCATTAATGAATACCGCAAACACCAAAAACAGGATAGCCTCTAGGGCCCGAAGTGCATATTCTAAAGCGGGAGATCCCTTATTACCTCTTAATAGGTGCTGATTGTCTTTGAAGCAAAAAAAATAAATACTGGGAAATACATATGGACTTGGGCCTGGAATCTAGTCCAGCCAGACTCTCTACCCATTACCCCATGGACTAAGCAGGCCAATTTTCCTTCTACAATTTAGTTATTTTGAATCGAGCCGACCAATCTTACTGCATCCTCACAGTGTCAGAAAGGCGGTGGTTAATCGTCCTTAACAAGCCCTTTAAATCTGGAATAAAATTGCACCTTAAACTGGTCACTTTTTCCCCTCCCACATATTCTGAGGACCCGCCCCCTCCTCCTTGCCTGTCGTCGGGGTTGACAACTGTATCCAGTGAAAATTTGTACTGGAATCCCGAGCATCCACCTCCCTCCACCTCCAGCCTGAGGAATTCTGACCCTTCGGTGATTTCCAGAAGCCTCTGAAATGCAATAAGAGGAATCAAAAATGTCAAGCCAGCAGTGGTAAAAGGGTAGTAAAGGAGAGTCCCAGAGCTTGGCTGGGCACCGCCGCCCCGCGTCTGCCCGGCCTTCTTACCCGGACGCAGCTGTCTGTAAGGTGGATCTGCCCTTCGCTAGCCTCGGGGCTGGAAGACGATGCCTCCCAACGCGTCTGAAGTCCCGGACAGGATGCGGAGAGCCTGTGGTGCAAGGGAGGAGGATGAGCCCGGGAGCAGAAAGGGTCCCAGGCGACCCCCACCTGGACCATCTCATGCCAAACCCTCACCTCCCCCGGGGGTTTTAGTTTCTTATTTGTTCTGGAGGCGCAAAACCTGACACCCTTCCAGTCTTGGTACCTGCCCCTCCGCCAGGGAATGACCGCTCTCAGGGCCGTGGCCGTTAAGGACAGGCCCCTGGCGGCCGCCATCTTCCCCCAACAAACTCCGCCCCTCGGTGCGCCGTTCTCCCCTCCTCCGCCTGGAGCTCAGGAGGCGGGAAGGCGGTCGGTGGGCGTGGCCGCAATTAGACCCGCCCCCATCGTGCCTATTAGGTCGTGTAGAAGAAGTTTGATTGGCTAGAAATGCTCCTGATTGCGGAAGAGGGGCCGCACCAGTAGAACCGGGGCGGAGTCCTGAGGAGACAGGCGGGGCGGAGCGGGGCTGATCGCCGCTCGGCCCCGCCTCTGAGCGGACAAGATGGGCGGGGACAGCGGGCTGCCTTCTGGCCAGGCTCCTTGGAGCGGGGCGGGGCGCAGGCGGACCGCAGGCGGACCTCAGCAGTGGTTGCTGGTGACAGGTCGCCTGACTGGGCTCCTCCCTGCGCCCGCCCCGACTAGTTTATCTTGTGACCGCGGCAGCCACTTCGTATTTCGAGCTTGGCGCCTCGTTATCCGCGATGGGTTTCCTGGCTGTAGCGATCCTGCTCCTGGCGTTCTTCGCTACCATCCAGGCGGAGCCGGTGCATTACAAGGACTGCGGTGAGACCCTCGCCCGCCCGAGATTCCTGCGTCCTCTGCGCAGCGGCGCCCAACGCTGAGACCCCGGGGCCGGGTTGGGCGGGTTCCTGGGATGACGAGGCTCAGCCTGGACTCCGGGTGCAGTGGACTGGATTGGGGGAGGAAGTACCGGCCTTGACGAAACTTATCGCCTACAACTTTGTATCTTTCCTTTGCAACAACTCGTGTTTGGGGGGGGGGTGTCCTTGTACGCTTTTTAGGTGATCCTCTTGCTGAAGTTCCCTCAAGTTTGCAGAGAAGATATCTGAAGGTCTGATACAACACAGGGGTTGAAGGAAGGGACGCTCTCTTCCTTTTTTTCTTTTTCTCTCTCCCCCTTCTTTCTTTCCTCCCTCCCTTCCTCTTTCGTTTATTTAGGGGGTACTGGGGATTGAACCCAGAGGCACTTTACCACTGAGCTACATCCCCAGCCCTTTCTATTTTGTATTTTAAAACTAAGTCTAGCTGGGTGTGGTGGTGCATGCCTGTAATCCCAGGGCCTTGAGAGGCTGAGGCAGGAGGGTCATGAGTTCAAAGACAGCCTCAGCAATGGTGAGCGCTAAGCAACCCAGTGAGACCCTGTCTCTAAATAAAATACAAAAAGGGCTGGGGATGTGACTCAGTGCTTAAGGGCCCCTGGGTTCAATCCCCCCCCCCGCCCGCACCAAAAAAAAAAGAAAGAAAGAAACTAAATTGCATAGGTCCTCGCTAAATTGCTGAGGCTGGCCTCAAACTTGCCATCTTCCTTTCTTTGCCTCCCAAGTCACTGGGATTATTGGCATGCACTACCGCCAGAAAGATCGCAAGTTTCCCTTGGGCTATAGAATTTTGTGATTTTTTTAGTCAGTTTTTCCTCCTATAAAAATCATGTTTCTATTTTATGACACATTATTGACACATTATTCCCTGTTGATGCTGTGGTTGGAATCTTTGTTGGAAAATACAACAGGTATAGAAATTCTGAGTTCATCAATACATTCTACTGTCACGAATAACTAGAAAGAACAAATTTTTTAAAGAAAAGAAATTCTAAGTTCATTTAGTCAAGTCTATAAAATTAATTGTTGGAGCAGAACTCCAGCAGTTGTATTGAAAGGTGGAGATGGAAAGGTATAATGATCAATGAAAGAGGTCTGAAACTGATTTTGCAAAATATGTGAGCAGGAAGGAAACATGGAGATCACATAGTCAATCGTGAATTCCAGAGATGTTAGGTAACCTACCTAAAGTTATACAGCAGAATGGGAAAACAGGGTAAGTTTGCTCCTTTATATCCAGTGCTGGGGTAATAGTAACTGCTTACTAAATATTTGCTGAAAAAGCAAATGAGGTAATATATATTTCCCACTAGGTCATCAAAACTCACGTTGAGGGAAAAGCAAGGTTGGGGACTTGGGAAATCAAGAATTAATAAAGGGCTATTAACACTTAGCAAATGTTAAGCAAAATGTTCCACTGAATTAGAGGACTGGCATTTAAAAGATGCTACTATTGCTTCAAACTACTGCCTTTCCCTGCATTAAATTGGATGAAGACACTATGTTAATTGTTTGGAGGTACTGGAGATGAACCCAGTGATTCTCTACCATGTGCTACATCCCCAGCTTTTATTTATTTATTTATTTATTTATTTATTTATTTTTGAGACAAGGTCTCGCTCATTTTTCAGGTTGGCCTCTAACTTTCAGTCCTCCTGTCACAACCTAACAAGTCTCTGGGATTATAGATTTGTGCCACTACACCTGCTGGACTCTATTAATTTTAATTTTAATAATGCATTCGGTCCTCACAGTCTGTTTTATAGAAAAGGAAACTAAGAAACATAGAATAACTTGCTTAAGATTTCACAACTAGGGGCTGGGGATGTGGCTCAAGCGGTAGCCCCCTTGCCTGGCATGCGTGCGGCTCCGGATCGATCCTCAGCACCACATACAAACAAAGAAGTTGTGTCTGCCGAAAAACTAAAAAATAAATATTAAAAAAAAATTGTCTCTCTCAAAAAAAAAAAAAGATCTCACAACTAGTAAGCAGTAGGAAACAGGTGGGTCTTTGTGACCCACTTTAGATTTAAATAGTAACATTAAAAAAGAAGTGAAATAAATCTGGAAATTATTCTATTCACTTGGGGAAAAAACAAACAGGTAAACACCTATAGGAAGAACTTCTTAAAGAGAGGTAGGATTCCCATCACAGTTTTTCGATATACTTTTTTTCATAATTAATAAGCCAGCTAGCATGATTTTTATTAGTTATGACTAATTTGAACACAAACTGTAATGTGATCAGTGAATTACAATTTAGAAATATTCATATTATTGAATCACTTTAGAAAAATTACACCAAAATATTACAGAAATGTATATTGATTGCTATATCAGTTTTTTTTTACCTTTTATTTTATTTTTTTAATTTTTAATTTGTTTTAATTATACATGACAGTATAATGCATTTATATACATTGATATATCATACATAGATGGGATATCATTTCTCATTTTTCTGAGTATACATATTATAGAATCACATTGATCTTACAGTCATATACATACATAAAGAATGTCCGTTTCATTCTACTATCTTTCTTAACCCCATATCCCCTGCCTTCTCCTCCTTTCTCAATTTACTTTTGAATTGACAAATATAATGTAAAAACTTCAGCAACCACATCAAAAGATTTTGCATGCCACTTTCCACCCACTTTCCCCTGGGGTGGGATTTCCTCAAGTGAGAAATAGAACTAAGCAAACTTTGGTTTTGTAATGTTTGCAAGTTAGAGCTCAGTTTGTTCTATTGACCCTGGAAGTTCAAGAAGCTCTTGTTCTTGTAAGGGGAAAAAAAAAAATGGATAAAAGAGCTACAAGTACAACTTTTTACTTTGATCCTACTAGATCATGTGACCTCACCTTTAAAGAATCAGGTAGACTATAGACATCGAAAGCCTTAATGTAGGTGCTGAGATCAACAGATTTTAAAGTTCAGGGATTTTTGTTTATTTTCTGTCTACAGAAGGTGGGATAAAGTGAAAGAGGGTACATCTCATACTATTTAGGGTGCTGAATATGTTCAGTTTAAGAAGTTTACTATAAGTGGGGTATGGTGGTGCTCATCTGTAATCCCAGCGAACGGGAAGGCAAAGGCAGAAGGATCACAAATTTGAGGCCAACTTCAGCAACTTAGCAATGTCCTAACCAACTTAGCCAGAGACTCTGTCTCAAAATTTAAAAAAAAAAAAAAAAAAAAAAAACTTTAAAAGGGCTGGGTATGTGGCTCAATGGTAAATTGCCTCTGGGTTCAATTCCTAGTACTCCCCCCCCCCAAAAAAAAAAACTTTGCTATAAAGGAGAAGCAAGCTGGGGAATAAGGGTTATTTCCATCCTTGCTGTTGCAGTTGGTCAATATAACTTCATTTTTTATTTGATTGGAAGAGTCTGCTTTAAAGACACTCTTCCACCAAGGGCAAGCACAGAGAAAGCAAAGTGCATCCACTTGGGCTTCTCAATTCATGTCCCACTTTTATAGTATTAAGTTAATTTGGTGACTGCAATTTGCCTGCTGTTTTCATGCATTCTGCTTTTAAGACAGTAAGACTCCATTCTATTGACTACAAACATAATTTCTGTCCATGAAGTGTATTTGAGGTTGGAGGCTCAGCTTTGGTGTCAAACTAAGCTATCAAGGAATAGCTATTTAGATTAAATTAAGGGATCGAATTCAAATATGATAAGCATAATAAAGACTTAAATGGCACTATAGTGTTCCAGATACTCATCTAAAAGCTGCATGTGTGTTAACTCACCTACCCTCTAAGGCAGGTATGATTATTATCTTCAGATGTTAACTGTATTGCCCTAAAGTTACAGGGTAAGTGATGGAACTGGTGAGATTTCATACCCGAGCAGCAGGCTCCAGAATCTGCCTCTCAGCAATGATGGCTAAATGGCAACACTTGACTTAAACTGTTACTGTTAACCAGACTCCTTACTCAACATTCTCTTCCATTCAACTATCCAGTTTTAGGGGCCTAGATAGGGAAATGGGATTGTTTTTCAAAACTTGTACTTAACTAGTGCAGGTGGTTGTATACACCTGTAATCCCAGTGGCTTTTGGAAGGCTGAGGCAGGAGAGCTACAAGTCCAAAGCCAGTCTCAGCAAATTAACAAGGCCCTAAATAACTTGGGGAGAACCCATCTCTAAATAAAATATAAAAAAGGGCTGAGGATGTGGTGCAGCATTTAAGCACTCCTTGGTTTTTAATCCCCAGTAAACCCCCCCACAAAAAAAGACAAACATTTGTGTGTGAGTGTGTGTGTGTGTGTGTGTGAAGCATTTATTATGTACAAAGAGCACATTTGTCCTTGATTAGAATGAGATTAAAAGAAAGAAAGGAAAAAAAAAAGACACACTCCTTGCCTCAGGGACACTTTAGGGACCACTGATTTAGAAAGACACCAGAGCGTAGCTAAAAGATGATGGGAGGGTTAGGGACAAAATGGGAGCAGCTGGTATCAGGAT